TTCAAAAGCTGAGTAATGCATACATAGATTCTAATAAAAATAATAGCGTTGAGTGTAACAACCCCCATTGGAAAATGCTTGACCTAAGGTGCAACATTCAGCCTCACTGTGGGGGCAGAGGGGGTTGGGCTGCGGGTGTCACAGTAGTATGGGTTTACCTTACTGGAACAGTTAATAGCGGGCTGTGATCGTTGTGATGAGCGAAGACATGGGGAGGGGCTATACTTTACTTTTACCTATACCGCGATAATAACGTGCTCTCAGACACAAAGCTCGATACACTCAAACACATTCACGTAACCCCTGCTCAACAAAATGGAAAGTGAGAAAATACAATTGTTTAGAAAGCAACTAAACCATTATGAATTAAATACTCGAAGCCAAGATGTGGGGGCAAAATGGCTATGGGTGGACAAAGAACATCGTGGAGCGATAACAACTAGGGCACCCCTTCAAGTCTTTATGGACTGACCTTGTCCAGTGCACTCTGCACGACGGCCTCGCTCTCGTGGTCTAGCGCTGACGTGGCCTCGTCCATCAACAAGATCTTGGGGTTCCGCAACAAGGCTCTGGCGATGGCGATTCTTTGCTTCTGTCCTCCACTCAGCTGTGCTCCCCTTTCCCCAATCCGCGTGTCGTAGCCCTAAAATACGGGGGGGGGGGGGGGCAAAAGTTGATAAAAAGTAAGTATCACACCATTAATATGATACTTAATCCATTAATAATGGTAGAGAAACGCGTGAATATCAACAGCAAGGAGTTTAAGTATCTGAGGAATAAAAAGATAAGGCTGTGTGTGTTCTTACATACATTTATAATTTTCATTTGTTTGTTCAATTTTATCCATAAAATATTGTTGTTCTTGACCTACTTTTGCACACCCCTGCTTAATTGCACGAAAATATTGATTTTGTACCTATACAGCTTAAACATTATTTTATCAGCAATTATATGTTAATGTATAGCACATGCGTGTTACTGTTGGCCTGTATGTGGGAGCAAGGCATATTATGAATTATGTATGTATGTGTGGATAAGTGTGGGGAAGAGAGGGTGTGTGGAAGATGGTGAGTATGCGTATGTGCGTTGAAACGCCAAAACATTGTGTTAGAGAGAGAGAGAGAGAGAGAGCGAGAGAGAGAGAGAGAGAGAGGGGGGGGAGTGGATGAGTCAGTCAGTCAACGAGTCAGTCAGTCAGTTAGTGATTCGGTTTGTGATTCAGTCAGTGATTCAGTCTGTGAGTGAGTGAGTTAGGGAATGAGTGAGCAAGTGAATGAGAGAGTGAGTGAGTGGGTGTTACAATATTGATTAAACTCCTGTATCAACATATTACGTTTAATAAAAGGTCACCACATCGGTTTAATTCCCATCTCTGCAAAGGCCAGTCTGAGAGGCTACCAATCACCTCTTACTTATTAAACAACAAAAATTCAAGAACGCCCAATTTTGAAAATATGAATCATGACCAACCGTGTAGCAGTCCAATAAATATAGATTGTAAAACACATAGAGTTTGCTGTTGAGAGGGAACTTACGCTGTACAAATGCTACCTATTATTATCATCCGATAATCGACATGCCGTACTTCCGAATTTCAATTTTATGCCTGTGTTCGATCAGGCCCAGCCACAATGATAATAATGTAAGTGAAGAACCTTGTGAATTCCCTAACAACCCAAGATCAAAATCGTTGCATTAGGGGTTGGAACCAAGACCGTCCATATCATAACTTTACATGATACTTTCTGAGCCAGTTTATCCGTCGCGGTTGCGAATTTGGGTTAACGCTAGCGCGTAAAAAAAAGTAGAAGAAGCAGTACCTCAGGTAGCGTCGAAATGAAGTCATGCACATTCGCATCTATCGCAGCTTGTTCTATTTCCTTCTGTGTTGCGCTCAGATGTCCAAAGCGAATATTTTCTCCAATGGTTGCGTCAAAGAGGACCGGTTCCTGGCTGACCACACCGATCTGGCCACGCAGCCAAGCCAGGTTTATGTCTTTGATGTTGTGTCCGTCAATTGTGACCTAAGGAAAAAGAAAATACGGAAAAGTAATATAATATATATAGCTCTCATTTCGAACTGCATTGGGGCATAGCAAACCGTTGCATAACATTACCACAAAAGGTTGTGTGAATGGGGGAGACTTCTCAGATCCATGGTATCAGTTAAGATAAGTTTGTCCATTCTCAAGTTTGCTCCAGACCAGTGTAATGTTAACATCTTTGAAGAAAACATAGTGAAATGAAGAAATTACTTAAATGGGCACTTCATTATAATGATGATGTATGTGATATTCGTCAGTTCATCACACTTTAAAAGAATAATGTAGTAACATTTTATATTACAGAATTTCAAAATATTAAACGACCGGAACTTCACTGCACTATCTAAACCTAGGACTTTTGTCACACAATTGTAAACACACGTTTACCTTACCGTGACGACAGAGGATATTTTTGTTAACAAATCGCTACAAATTAAAAGGTTCTATCTGCTCTGTACCAAGTTTTGATAAATTTGACTTTAAAAATTTCAAGTTTCACAAGATGTCAAACTTTTCCGATCCATCCTGCAACTTTGATAGAACAGACAGAATATTTGGTTTATGATAGCATGGTCTTAGTAATTCGAAACGGCCAGAAATGTCAGAGAGGGCTTTGTAATTCTAGGGTGCCGAAATGTTTAAGAACGCTTCAAAACAAACAAATCTTAAAACTTAACTATCATTTGGGGTCGGGTTCGTTTTTGTTTGGGGGGTTTTTTTCATCCACATCGGAGCTAGCTACCAACCTGGCCATCCAGAACGTCGTAGAAGCGTTGGATGAGCTGTACTGTAGTGGACTTGCCACAACCACTGGGGCCCACCAGAGCAACATTCTGCCCTGGTCGCACTTCAAGGTTTAAGCCTGCCAGTACCTGTGGGTCAGAACAAAGGGATAAGATTTTTTTTTAATAATAAAATTACCACCCCACCCCCTTCTGCGGCCATTTCAAAGTGCTGGACCTAGTGTGCAACATCTGGGGTCACTGTGAGGTGGGGAATGCGGTGAGGTTGCAGCTGTTGTTCAGCAACAGGAAACTCCAGGCTGTGATGTCCAATGACACTAGGGGAGGGGGAGGGATGTACCATCGAATATGCTTTTTTAAAAAGTTTTTGTAAGAGTTTTACGGCACTTGCAACACAATAAGGTCATATAAGTGCCAAAGATTAGAGGTGTTACAAGAGAGTAACAAATATAAAAAAGAAGGAGGAGAGATCAGGACGATAGATGTTTGATAGGAAAGAAAGAACAAACACCACCAGAGCACCCGCCAACCACCCACGAATATGCTTTAACTGCCACCTGTATAAGACAAGCACCTGTAAAAACGACCACTTCCAATTTTCCCCCTTGCATTTTTTTTTTGGTCGATTATAATGACAAAGCACCATGTAAGACTGCCTGTCTGAGGCCACTTCTTCCACGACAATGGGTGGCTGTCTTAGAAATTTTCGACCGTGCTTTACTTTTTACCAAGTCTAACGCGGAGACCACAAAGATAGACAGGAGTGTACTTTCTTATTAACAGTGGTGTCTCTAGTGGTTAGGCTTCTGGAATCGGAATCGTGAGATTGCAGATTCGGGGGTTCGAGTTTCGGGTCCAACGTTGTGTCCATAGGAAAGGAACTTTACTCGAATATTCCTCACTTCACCCAAGTGAGAAGTCCAGTATGATACGATCTGAGATAACGGTGTGCGCTTCACCTTTCGAAAACAGCAATCTACATACAAGCATTCAGATAAGTTGCAGCCATTCATAGTATTAGACAGGCACTTTAGAGTGACAAGAGACAAAATGGAGGCAGAGAGAGAGAGAGAGAGAGTGACACAGAGAGAGAGAGATAGAGAGACAGATAGATAGAGACAGAGACAGAGAGAGAGGATGAGGGGGGGGAGAGAAGGACAGAATATAACGGCTGTCAAGCAGCGGGCGACTCACCACGGAGTCGGGCCGGGCAGGGTAGGCAAACTTGACGTTGTGGAACCTCACGTGACCCTGAAGTGTCTGTGGCTTGAGACCCTTCTGTGAACCGATGTCGATCATGGGTTGTCGGGCCATGATGTCAAACACTTTGCCTGCGGCGCCACGAGCGTTCGCGAAACTCTCCAGGTTGTTCAAGGCATTGCCCATAGCTACGGAGCCGATCACCATACCTAAGAATACCTGGATAGATAGAAGGATGGGCAGGTGGATTGACTAACGGATGTATGGACGGGTGGTTGTTTGGGTGGGTCAATGGATGGATCGTTGGGTGGTTGGGTGGCTAGATTGATGGATGGGTAGATCGTTTGGAGGGTGGTTGGGTGGATAGAAGGATGGATGGATGGGAGGTTGGGCGGGTGGTTGGATCGGTGCGTAGACTGGTGGATGGATAATATAGACGCATGGATTGATGGAAAGAACAATAGATAGGTGGGCGGATGTATATAACTTGTGGGTGGCTAGGTGAATGGAAGGTGGATAAATATGTGGATGGATGGGTGAGTGGAGGGGTGAACGGATGAATGGATGGATGGGTGAGTGGATGGATGGTTGGACTGATGGTGAATCGATGAATGGGTGGATGGATAGGTAGATGGGTACGTAAATGGGTAAATCATTCAAAATGTAAACTCACTAAACTGGTTTCAGCGAATTTCAGTATCTATAGACAACACGGCTAGACCTTCAGTTTTAACTAATTGTCACACTCCGTGCACGCTGCCAATCGAATTCAGTCAAATTGAATTAGGCCTAGACAGATTTTCCTCCATAGAGGGGCAAAAATGTTTTAGCACAATTTGATCAAATCCGCTAAGAAACAATCCCCACCCCTCCTCCCGTCCCCCGACTCAATTAGACGGAATTCGATTAGCAGTGTTCATCGGGTATGACTTATGCTTGCTCAAAGTTGAAGACAGCTTACCGGAAGAATACGTCCAGGGCTGAGGTTTTCCTCCTGAATCAACACAGTGCCGACCCACATGGCTACTGCAAGATTCACGTAAAGAGTAAAAAATAATGCTGACTGCCCAAGTCCAACTGCAAGACCTTTCTTCGAGGCCACTTTGACAGCGTCTCCCAAGCATCTTTCGTACCTGCGAATGGAGTCTTCGCCGTTCAAAACTAAGTTCTCTGGGTTTTGTTTCAGCGAGAGGTTAAGGGCAATTGCAACACAAATAGATTATATAAGTGCCAAAATTACAGGTTTTACTAGAGAGTAACATACGAATAAAAGACGGAGAGATAAAGACAATGGGCATTTAATAGGAAAGAACAAGCAAATCCCACCGGAGTAAACCCC